AGCTTCAAGTGAACGGTCACATGGAGAGGAGGGAGCCTGTGGGAGTGGGGAGTAAGGTATTTGTACCTATTCCTTTACTCCCCCTACCCCACTAGCAAAACGAGCATTTAACCCATGCAGTGTAGGAGGTCCCCACCGCATGGGTATGTTTAACAGCAGCCCAGAGATGGGCTTTGACATTGCTTCCAGAGATATGTGCTTTGCTTATTGACTCCCTCCTTTTACAATGCTCCAAATATACAAGCTGGCTGACATCCTGCTTGGGTTACCAAAAGATGACACTATAGGGTTGTTTTATTAATGGAATAGAGGCTGTTTACTCAGCAAAGTGATTGATACTGAGGGTGAAGATGTGTTCAATTTGAGTACCCAAACGTGCAAAAAAAAAGGCGTTTTGCTAGCACATGATTAGATAATCAACCACTGCTTCTCCTTATTCACTAACATTCACTTTACAAAGTAAACAAACGCTTAACTAAGTGAACATTCACTTTAATAGGAAAACAGCTTCTATTCCTTTAATAAACCAACCACACTGACACAAAGGCTCTTGCATTTATAAAAAGTCAATGAAAAAAAAAGTCCTTCCATTAAAAAACATTAACACAATGTTGATACATCTTCGTCCTCATACCTGATAAAGTTAAGATGTGATATCAATCCGATAATTGACTGAAACAACATAATAATGCTAACTTGCAAGAGAGTACACAATGACTGTATATTCTTGTTCCCTATTTGACGTAAAAGAAAAAAAAAATATTGTTAAAAGAAAATAAATATATTATATAGAACTACACCTACAGTATACATCATGGAGAAGGGACAGATAACATGCAGCAGTCATTTTCTGCTTTTCCCTTATAGAGCCTTCTTCTGCAAACTCTACCAATTTGTGCAACTGCATTTTCAGTGAGTCACAAATCCTTAAAAATATACCAACCACTTTTAGCTTATACAAAGAAATGCCAAAACACTGTCCTGCTTGTATGTCTACCAATTAAGCAAGTACATTTTTGCTGCAAATGCTCATCATTATTTTAAACTTCTGTAACTCCAAGCCATGTAAATCCCCAATAAAGAATGCAGCAATCTGGATTATAAACGGATGACTCAATAATACTTTGGTAGGATAAGGGCCAGGATGTTTCCCAAACACAAAGCTACCACATGATAAAACAGCTTGTACAGGCTGGCATTAGAATACCCACTGCCAATGTTGTGTTTATTATGAACCTTGCACATTACATTTGCTCTAAGCTGTAGGTTCTATAAAAAAAAAAAAAAAAACATCAGAATACAAAGAATACACAAATGTTGTTTATTTGAATGGGTGATTGTTTTAGTAAATTAGTCCGGCAAACCAAAGACAATCCAATCCACAGACTGATTTTCCTTTTAAGCAGCAATTGGACAGAACACACAATTATTGCTATTGTTATAATCGTTTCTGCCTACACCACGCGGTGTGTATTGTGGCACTAAAATGGAGAAGCTTGTGCTTTGTAATACATAGCAGTGCTTTGACTTGGCATTGTTATAGATGGTAACAAATACAAATGATCAAAAGAACAAAGTAAAATATTTAACCCAGACTCATAAAACTGGTCGGCTCAAGTGATTTTGATGTTGTGAACAAAGTTAAATTTAATAATGACAGTGAAGACTTGTCTGGCACATTAATGTCAGTCCCGTTATGTAACTCGCACTGTTCTATAACTAAAAATCATTTTGATGTCCTGGAGCATTTGGCACTCGCAGCAGCTTTGTTGAATTAACAATTATGGCTGGCAGGGAATTCTGGGACCGATAGGTTCTGGAAGTAAAACTCTAGTTCAAGGTGCTTACATATATTTAATATTAGTAATGAGTAAACTGGACCAATCTGGTAAAAGAAACAGCCTGTAAAGGGGTCCTTGGAGCCCTTTACTAGTTTTCAGTTCAATAAAAGTGGTCATCCCACATTTCATCCCAACTATGTAAAGAATAGCACCCTTCACAATGGGTGAGAGTGCAATTTCTTGCAGAGGCGCTTTATCATTTCTAAGGAAATCAAGCACTTCTCAAATGGTCAAGCTTTATTGAAATTCAAAATCAGCAATGCATCAAACAGATGTTTCGAGGGCTTGCTGGACTCCTTTCTAAACACAAAATTGAAATACCTTGCAAGTCCCAATAATGTCAGTATAATATATTTGTGAGACTGAATAATATCAATGCCTGAACATTTAGAAACGTTTTGGCTTTCGTTACAAATCCCATAAGCAGTTCACTTTTGTAGTGCAACACATGCAAGCTGGTCGCCAGCCTATATAAATGACATAATATAGTCTAGTCCAAATAAGGAAAATTATGTCATAATGAAGCAATGACCATGCACCCATAAGACAGTGAGCTGTGCCATCATTGTAAACAGAGTTCAGAACTATCTACCAGTTCACTCCTAGCCAGTGATAACTGAGAAATAATTAGGTCTACAAAATAGACTGCAGGACTGCTTTCAATGCACATTCAGCAAAGCAAATGTTCACTCAAAATTCAATATCATCTGAAGAAGGGCAACTATAATAATATGCACTATTAACACACACAGTCCTGGACAAATGTGTTGGTACCCTTATAGCTCAATGAAACAATGCATTTTTTTCCTCCTAAAAAGTGATCAAATTGAAAGTAATTGTCTCATGTACTGCATACCTGCATGCCTTTGGTATGTCAGAATAAAGCAAAGAAACTGTGAAATAAGAAACTATTGCTTATTCTACGAATAAATAAGTGGCTTAGAGTGATATATCAAACTATTTTCTATAATTAGTGCCACACATGTCTTCAGTTGTCAGCCTATTTAATTGGAGAAAAGTAGTCGCTCTGCTATTTGGCATCAGCTTGTGCACCACACTGAACACGGACCAAAAGAGAAGAAAGGAGAGAGTTGTCTGAAGAGATCAGAAAGAACATTATAGATCAGCATGCCAAAGGGAAAGGCTACAAGGCCATCTCTAAGTTGCTTGATGTTCCTGTGACTACAAATATTAAGATGTTTAAGGTCTATGGGAGAGGAAAATCACCCTCACATTGAACAAAAGGATAGTACCAACAGCAGACAAAGAAGGAAAACTTCCAAAAAGATGCAAACTGAACTCCAATGTCAAGGTAGATCAGTGTCTGCTATCACCATCTGTCGATTTGTGAGTGACAATGAGCTCAAAGGAAGAAGACCATGGAGGACTACAATACTGAAAAAAACATAAAGCCAGACTAAAATTTGGTAACATGCATATTGACAAGCTACAAGGCTTCTAGAAGAATATCCTTTGAACAGAAGAGACAGCGGCAGCTTTTTGGCAAGTCATATTAGTTCTATGTTTACAGATGAAAAAAGGAATCTTTCAAAGAAAAGAACACTATACCTATTTTGAAACTTGGAGGCACGGTTATGTTTTGGGGCTGCTTTGCTGCATCTGGCACAGTGTGTCTTGAATCTGGGCAGGGTATAATTAAATCTGAAGGAATTCTGGAGCAAAACGTACTGCCTAGTGTTAGAAAGCTCTCTGCCGCAGGTCATGGGTTCTCCAACAGGCTAATGACCCAAAAAACACAGCTAAAAGCAGCTAAGAATGGCTAGGCCATGCCAATCTCATTTGTTTATTAAATATGGAATAAACAATGATGGATGAGAATTACTTTTGGCAGTTTCAAGCTCCATTCACTCATGAGCAGCTTTCTGCTTGTATTCGTATACGTGGAAACGCACTATCCATAAAAACAATGCATTTTCATGTGCATTGTTCACACTAGGGCGGCGTCAGTGAGGGGCCCCCCAAAAAGTCGGAGCGTGATTTTACGGGCGGATTCCGCGCGTTCCGTCTATAGTAATAGCTGCAAGCGTGCAGAATCCGCACGCATGTTAATATTTGCTTGTTACATTGCTGTGAGGTTTTCACAGAAACGCCATATATGAATGGAGCCTCAAGTTATTTCAGAAAACAAATGTGGGTTCCTTTTTCGGGAAACGGTACTAACAAATCTGTCCACGGCTATATATTTTGCATTTTTTGTTTCTTCCTGGGTAGTGTTTAACTTAGGGAGGGCAAGTTTTCATGTGACACATGGCTGTCATTTACCTTAGAACTTAGAATTCTGATTAACTTTAATCGGTAAGCTCATGGTGATCTCTGCAGTTTAAGTAGTATTAAACTCTCAAACCTTTTTTTCAATAATGAATCCAGATTAAACAAACATACATCGCCCAGCAAAGTTTTTATGTACATTTTTGCCCAAACACTGACAATCATCGTGTTTCTGAACAGCTCCAACTCTCTTAGCTCGGTTCACCTGAAATTCTTGTCCAGTACAAGATTACAAGGGAGAGCTCAGTCTGAGGCAGCCATCCATCTACTGGATTGGAGAAGGAAGGAGGGAGGAATAAGGGAAGAGTGGGGATCAGGGAGAAAGGGAATTACTTGCCTTGGTGTGTCTGTGTTTGTGGAGACACACAGCGTATTAACACACACAAGGGTGGCTCCATAGGACTCTGCAATGGAAAGGAGCCACCCTTAAACAGGATATCATGGCCAGTGCTGAGGGGACCAGCTGATTCTGCACAAAGCTAAAACTTGTAAACATCAAGGTACAGCATCCATTGTAAGTGATTTAATCAGCATTTGAAATAGCTTGAAAATCTTTTGACTTCAATATCACTTTAAGCATGGAGGACTGAAAAGCATGTAGCAAAACAGCAGCACAAAGGATTTGCTCAGAACTATATCAACTGCTGCTGCTTCTAGGCATCACAAAAACTTGAGTTTGTTCCTTACCAACCACTGACTGGGAGAAGCCCCTGAACCTTGAGGGAAAAGTAAACTGGATCCAAGGAATTAAAGTACTTATGTTATTTGACCATTCAACAGGGTGCTAGTTGTAGAACCATAAAATAGTTTTTTATTGAAACTAAAACCTAATTATTACAGCTGTGATAAATATTTATTTTTAAAGTCTACCTTGACGTTGAATGTTATGTCCTCCATAACATAGACCCGCTCAGGAAATGCTTTAGCCACCTCCTCCACACTGTTGAAATACTGCACTGGCTCCTTGATGTCCCGGTCTTGCTCAAGCAACTTGAATTGCCCTGAAAACAAATGATAAACAAAAATCTTGTAAGATATTTATGCTGGACATCTGTCATTGTGAAACTGATCTCTGTTTCCAGGATCTCCCACTCTATTGAGTAACTACAAGTAATGGATTGTGGGGCATTCTGAAATGTAACAAACCTCTTCACGGTATCACTGCCCATAAAAAAATTAGTGTGTGTGTGTGTATATATATATATATATATACACACACACAGTAAAACAAAAAGCAAACTATTCCATAATCCTATTATTGATACAAAACAGCTTCTGGTGTGAGAAAACATGCATTGCATAGAGTGGCTTAGATATTCAGTGATTGCAGCTTCAGAGCCACAATCTGCCCAAACACAGTCTTCTGGAGGAGTGCATACTAGCAGCCCCCTTTTCATTCCTATGTGTAGAAGGTCTAAACCAGCGGTCGCCAACAAGACATTTTTGGTGGTCCGCGGGCCCCTCTGATGCCATGCAGGCTGGGTCGTCATTGAAGTGGCACAGAGGCTCCAGGGCTGCCTCTCACTGACTCAAGCAGCGGCTGTCACAAGGAATGCGCGGGTCTCAGTACAGTGCAGGCTCTGCAGGAGGCGGGGCATCTCGTCAGTACCCGACTGAGCAGGCTGCGGGACATAGAAAAAGTGGGGAGAAGCCAGGTAATAGTGGCTCAGTGTGTGGGAAGAGGAGGCACAGGGGTGGTTGGGGGCAGTGCTGAAGCTAGGGGGAGCATGTGACCCGGGCGCTGCCAGCAGGGCCAGTGGCAGATTTAATAGGGGGGAAACAATTAATATTATTACTGGGCCGGGCGGCACCGCTCCCTCCCTCCACCAGCACTGCCACTCCTGCAGGCACACCCGCACCTATGTATGTATGTGTATATATACTGTATGTATATATAGATATATTCTCATATTTTTGGTTTCCTCCTATTTAAGTGTGTGTGTGTGTGTGTGTGTGTGTGTGTGTGTAGAGAGTGTGTGTGTGTGTGTGTGTGTATATATATACACACACATATACATTTTAGTGGTCCATGAGGTCCGAAAGGTTGGCGACCGCTGGTCTAAACCCTTTAGCAGCTGTAAATTGTGATAGCCATAACTGTGATCATTACAATTATAATCTCGTCTCCAAATTATTGGCAGGCCAAAGAGAAAACTTTCTAGCTAAAATTTTTATTTGCAGAGCAGAAATGCAAGGGCACTCTGCGCGAAAGCTTTAGGAAACACAATCAGCCTGGTGACACACGAGGCAACGCAAGGCTGATTGCTGGGGAGCATAATGCAAGAAGCCGACAGCAGCAGTAAGTGTGTCTGTGCTCAGTCAGCCCCTGCATGTACAGTGCCAATAAACAGATATTTCATACTGTCCATTCACAGTGGCAATCACATTTCATTTTCTGGCCTAGCTTTGCAGCAAAATACAGCACTAAGGGCTGGTTCACACTGAGTGTTTTATTGGGCTTTTTCTGCCCTAAAAAACAACACTAAAAAAAATCCCATTCATTTCTATGGCCCTGTTCACATCTGAGCATTGTGTCACAATAAGCAAAATGCCTGTCCCTGGAAAAAGTACAGGAGGTTTTTTTCTGGCATATTATAGCTCGTTCTGTCCCCACGCGTTTGCTGTGTTTTTGCAAACGTTTACTCATTAACATCAATGAGCTGCAATCTGCTCACAAAAACACGCCGTCGCCTAGGTGTGAACCAGGCCTAAGGGTGACAGGGAGCACATATTCAAGTTACTGGGGGGAGCAGAGACCAAGAGCTTGTACAGGCACAGCAGGGGTCCAATAGTCCCGGATGAATCTCAGCAAAATTTACAGGACATTGAATATAAGTCCTCAAAGAATTGAGCTGTGTAATTTCAAAGCCAGTGTATCTAATTTTTAGAGACTCTATAATGACTGGCTTGGTACCAATGGATTGGCGCAAGGCCAATGTGGTGCCAATATATAAAAAGGGATCAAAGTCTTTACCAAGTAATCACAGACCTGTAAGCTTAACTTCAATAGTTGGGAAGATACTTCACAAAAGACAGAAGTTGGCAAACAAACCTACTTTCTTTTTATGAGGAAGTGAGTAATAAATTGGACAGAGGAATGGCTGTGGATATAGTATACTTGGACGTTGCAAAAGCTTTTGACACAGTTCCCACATGCGGCTAATGTATAAGTTAAGGTCAGTAGGTATAGAGTATTCAATCTGTAAATGGATAGAACACTGGCTTAAGAACCATATTCAGAGAGTAGTGATCAATGATTCATACTCTGAATGGTCTGAGGTTGTTAGTGGTGTCCCCCAAGGTTCAGTGTTGGGCCCCTTACTGTTTAATCTATTTATAAATGATATAGAGTTGGGGATTAAAAGTACTATTTCTGTGTTTGCAGATGACACCAAGTTATATAGTGGAATACAGTCCTTACAGGATGTTTCCATCTTACAAGAAGATCTGAATGCACTTTGTGATTGGGCAACTATTTGGCAAATGAGGTTTAATGTTGATAAATGTAAAGTTATGCACTTGGGGACTAAAAACATGCATGCGTCATACACTCTAGTGGGAGAATGTTTGGGAGAGTCAATGATAGAGAAAGATCTGGGTGTTCTGGTAGATCAGACTGAATAATAGCATGCACTTTAAGGTCACTGCAAAGAACAAGAGGGCACCCTTTGCGTCTAGAGGAAAAGAGGTTTAACCTTTGCATACGGAAAAGAGTCTTCAGTTAGAGCTGTGGAAATGTGGAATAGACTGTCCCAGGAGCTAGTTCATTGTTCAATTCAGTTAATTGTTTAACAGAAAATCTGGATGTATTCCTAAAAGCACAGAATATTACTGCATATTGAGTTCTTATAGGTATATTAAAACACCAGAGATTGTTGATCCAGGGAATATCCAATTGCCTTATGGGATCAGGAAATATTTTTTCCCCCTCTTGGAGCAAATTGAACCATGCTTTATAGGGTTTTTTTGGGCCTTCCTCTGGATCAACAGGGGGTAATTGGGGGCACAGCGTTCCGTTTAGGCTTTTCTTTCTTTTTCATATCTCTATAGGTTGAACTCGATGGACATGTGTCTTTTTTCAATCCGACTATGTAACTATGCAACTGTCATTTTCCAGTGCAAATTTGAGTAGGACAGCATATGGAACTTCTAGCTCAAGAAAAACTGTTAATGAAACCAATTACTGTATAATGCAACTGCATCATACAATATCAAAACATATTAAGCCTATAACGATCACAGTAAAAAAAAAAAAAAAGGGATCATATATAAATAGATCATCGGTCTAACCTATAGACATCCAGAGTGTAATAATTCAGAGTCATGGACGCTTGCATTCCTGTCCTCTCCTTCTGAAAATGCTAGTTGCTTGACTGTCATCCTGATCCTAAGGTCTACATTTTAGACGAGTCACAGACCCATAAAACTATGCAGATATGAATGGTGACTTATTAATCAAGTACATTTTTGACATATACCTAATCTCATTTTATTGTATTCAGTGAGCCACCATAAAAACACCTTCTACAATTCAGCCTAGTGATGGAATGAGAAGTGCAAAACAAAGCAGTGCATTTTTGAGTGTTACACATGTTAATAAATGAAAAAGTGCTGAAAACGATTACAAGTAAAAAGCAGTGCTGTTGTAGACTGGTGAATGGCTGCATTTATTTTCTGTTCTCATACACATGATGTTTTGATTTGTGACATTCAGTTTTGAGGAAGAATAAAAGGAATCTGTGCGCTATTAAGGCAATAAAATAAACGGTCAAGTGAACACTGATCTAACTTCCTCCATCTGTTAGGGAACTTCAATTCCCAACATGCATTGCCAGCCAAACACTTTAACTTCCCAAGGAGAGACAGCTGCAGGCTACCTGCACAGGATATAGCTGCTTGTACATACCGTACTTAAAAATGATAGCACACTTCAGAACAAACCCCCTTTCTGGAAATGAAGAAGTCATATTAGGACAGGGATGTGCATAACGTGCTATGAGTCACAGAAGAGAAGGTCTAAGCTAGGAGGACAATATTTAGTCATGCGCTATGATTAATCTAGGAACAATGTTCTCTTTTTTTTTTACGGCTGTGGAAATTAAAGATTCATTTCTCGATTAATCGTTAAACTTTTTGATCGATTAAAATTATTTTGATCGCTAATGAAAACACTCACCTCTCCGCCAGCGATCACGTCACCGGTGGCGTCGATGTCCGTGACGGCTAACGAAGGGAAGGGGGGGGGGCAGAGTCCGGTGACGGCCATATTGAGTGGGGCACGTGAGATTAATAACGTGCTGGGTTAGTGTGATCCTAGTTCATTTTATTACTTCATTGCTGTGCTGTATGTGTATAGGCCAATGTAGTTGGATGTGTATGTGCGTTATAATTAATAGAAATTATTCGATTAATCGATTTTAAAAAATGCGATTAATCGAACACAAAAATTTTATTCATTACCAGCCCTACTTTTTTTGTAACTACTTGTTTCTGCAATATCATGCATGATTATGGACTATTGTTTCAGTACTCCTCCTCAAAAAATCAATCTCATCCATTGAGCCTATAGCTGAGCTCCGGGCACAATAAACTTACTTTTGTCATTGCAGTTAAAGCCTCCTCCCGTGACAACCACTATCTTTTAAATCTCTCAAATCTTCTTGTTTACATATGGGTGGAAATGCAGCACCCGCCGTACTTCTGTGCCCGCTTGGATGTATGCACTCTCAATAGACCTCAGCGCCATGGTGGCTAGGGGCTGGGCTGCGTGTTTTGTGAAGAAACACGTTTTCAGAAGTGCAGGATATGCAAGCAACGTGGTACTCTGTATGTAATATTTATAGAGGTTCCAATTTCATTATACAGTCTGTTAATATCAAATGTGTCAGACAGATGTGGCATAAATGTGTAGACTCCCACACGTATGTGATCCCAGTTATAAAGCCGGTTGACAAAGGCACATAATTTCCCTTGCAAGGACAGGCTGATGTGGAAGGAGTTA